TTTGGAAAGAAAGAAGAAAGCCATAGAATGAATTTAGAGCTAAACCCTAAAAGGAATAGGTTTGGGTGGTTTGGCCGCCTCAGACGGCGTGGGGTGGGAGAGTAAAAAGGAAGAGCCCTCGATATTCAAGCTCCAACAACAAATCGTTAAATCACAATACACTCGAAAATGCACTATCACAGAATACTTCCGTCTATGCGCCATTCTACGGCAAACCCTAAACCCTAAACCCTAAACCCCAAACCCTAAACCCTAAACCCCAAACCGAAACCTAAACCGTAACCCTAACAATTTACTTAAACCCTCGCAGGGGCTAACATTGTCAAGTTGCTTAAAAATCGCGGACTAACATGTCAATTTCCCAGCACTGTCAATTTACTTAAACCTTCGCGGGGCTAACGCTGTCAATTTACTTAGACCCTCGCGGGGGCTAACAGTGTCAATTTGCTTAACCTTTAACCTAAATCCAAAACCCCAAGCCCTGAAACCCAAAACCGGAACGTTGAAGGGAAAATGTGTATGATCTTTCCAAATCTCCCTCCTGAATTTGAGCATTCTGCCGAGCTTCCGAGACCAAGAGTTTGCATGTCCCCTCCCCTATACCCGTGGTCGGCATCTGAACACGTTCGAGCTTTCAACTTTCAAGCTTCCAGGTGCCGCACCGGCTCAGTGTCGTCCGTGGCGTTCATGATCATCATCTCAAGAATCTCCAACTCCCTGACCTGTCCAAACAATCTTTGTTTCTAAGTTCTGGAAGTTTCAGCAGCTCAAGCAACGTAGCTTGCGCTTAAGTCTCTGTCCCATGTTGGTCACATGCAGCGAGTGAAGTGACTTCAACTCATCTCGCAGGTGGCGTGGGGGGGAGGTGGGGTAATTAGGCTGAGGTTTGGGGTTTGGGGTATAGGGAGAAGATCCTACGAATCCGAAAGCAGCCTATCATGTCCCTCCTCTCCTCCCCCGATCCAAACGCCTGACCCTCCTGTGACTTGTGTTTGGTCTTGCAGACTTACTATCGCTTCCACCGGGGCCTTTTTGCTTTGTGTAAAGGCTTGCGCCTTAAACCCTAAACCCTTTATAACTCTAAATCGCCAAATCCTCAGCCGGGGTTTACGGCAAATGGTTCCGGGATCAAGGCTTTGATCGCTCAGCTTTCCGCTCAGTTTTCACGTTGCAAAAACAGACCCCCCAAGCTCGAGAAATAGGACCTTCAAGCAGCGACAAGGGTAACCTAAACAAAACGTTTGTAAAAAAACATGTTTAGCGAATCCTGAAATCTGAAGGCTGGCTCACAACTCGACAAATAGTACTGTTTACCAAATCATCGCATTGAAACTGCGAAAAAATGTAAAGCCTACCAACTCCGGTTAATGTCAAACCAGCTTATGAGTTTTATAAACTCGAGAAAAAAAGCACTGGCACCTCCGCAAACACCTGGCGTCAATAACCAATCGCGCGCCTACTACGACTACGACTACGGCTATTACTGCTTCTAGTATTGCTACTGCTGCTGCTGCTGCTACTACTACTACTACTACCACCACGACTCCTGCTGCTGCTGCTGCTACTACTACTACTACTACTACTGCTACTGCTACTGCTACTGCTACTACTACTTCTACTACTACTACTACTACTACTACCACCACCACCCCAATACTTGTTATCGAAACCTCTTTTATCGCAAGCATGCGCGGGGTATCATGGGGGGGGGACGATGCTCGCATGACGGGGGTGGCACAGATTTTTTTGATGAATGCAAGTTCTCTTTATGGCAAAAAAGGGTTGCTGTTCTTTGCCTTGCAAGCTGGCACCGGGAAACCTTTTGGTTCTACATGATACATGTTAATGGGAAGCATCGGTTCCTCTATTTCATAAGAAAACCTCTAGTTTTTCTATCTTTAGCAGGAATTCCGGAAGCCTTTCTGTGTATCTGAAAAACGAGATTTTTGTTTCTCAATATTCTGTTCTAGAAATATCTCTATCTTTTTTGTATTTCAATAGAATTTCTCTGTCCTTGAACAGAATACCTCTATTTGATCACCTCGTTTGATCACCTTTATTATCTCAAGCTTTGGGAGGGGGGGCGCAAAACCCCCCTCACGCGCATGATATTTTTTCCTCCCGCCTGGCTCGCATGATATTCTTTACTAAGCATGCACGGGTTCAAAATGAATAAGGGGCCATTTGCAAACACAATGGTCGCATGACGGGTTCTTCTGTCTTGAATTCAAGTTCTCTTCATGGGACGATGTTCTTTGCGAAGCAAGTTTGCACAGTGGGTGGGCGAGGGCGCAAGCACAATGCTCAAATGCCTGGTTTGGACAAGACGCATAGCCCGCGAGCATACCGAGCTCCGCACGCTCTGCCGCCTTTCCACAAGTGGCAGAAAGGTACCTCCACCCAACGAGGCTCGAACATCACCAAACTGCTCTGCTCCACTTTTTTTGGAGCACTGTAAGGCCCTCCACCAATCAGCGAACGCCTGGGTCCCGGAAACGGCAAAGATGCAAAGTTCTATAAGCCTATGACTCTGCAATGTCTATGATTCTCACTCAGCTCCGAAACTCTAAGGGTCCAAAAGACCTAATGACCCTAAACCCTAAACCCCCTAAACCCGCAGACAGAGCTCACTGAATTTCTTGGAAAAACGTAGGGGCCCACAAACCTCCGCACTGGGACTTAAAATAATATTAGGACGGGGAGAGGGGGGCAGGGGTGACACGCTCGGTGGTTTTGCGTTGCTGGTATTCCCAGTATTATACAACCGACTTTTCCTGAAGGGGACTGAACCATTTCAATTTACTTAAACCCTCGCGAAGGCCTTCAATTTACTTGAACCCTCGCGGTGGCCTAAGTACCGAATCCACCACGACACTGCGCGCCATGATTATGATTTCGATGGTGGCGGTATCTATGGCATGATGTAAAGGAGTATCTTAACCTGAGGAACACCAGACTTTGCCTGAGGGCTGTGAGATTCACCTATGTCGCACCGAGGGTTTCGAGCGCTTTCGGCGCTCAGTCCAGCTTCAGACATTTCAAGACTAAAATGAACGTAACTTCACACGGGGATTATCGCGACTTCCGGAGGACGGAGACACGCTTATAGCTCCGAAAGCGTTGTCAATCCCGCGCAGTGCGATTTCGCACACGGCCACGCCGGGTCCACCGAGAGGGCTGTCAATTCCCATCACGAGTTGTCGCGGCACCACACGTGATCACGCGCGGGCGCAGAGTGCGATTTCGCGCGCCCGAACACATGTATCACGAAAGGCTCGTCACTGCACCCCGTGCGAAGAGCGATTTCGCACTTTACACACACATCTCAAAGTACAGGTCCTGGTACAACCTGGAAGGGTATCTCAGTTACAGGAGTTGTGCTCCTGGGAGTTGGTCTTTGTGTGTAGAATAAGATCTAAGGAATCTAGCTCGACATTCAGTCGCACAAAATGCAATGCTCTTGGAACGAGACTTGATCGTTTTCTGCTGTTTTGTTGAGAAACAGACGGAAGTTCAAGGCATGGAGCAAGGCTGAGATCCGGTCAAGTAAGCTTGAGCCCGAGCCGACAGCACACGCAAAGAATACACGTAGCAAGCAAACATCAATCCAAATAGAACTTAAATAAACAAGCTACTGTGCATACCTCTGACATCCCCTCCTGGAATGAAGATTCTCACATGCCCAGACCCAGCAAATCCCAGGAGCCTTTCTGCGCGAGTAGGGGAAGCCTGTCAGCCCCCTCAGCTCGTACCCTTTTCGCCGCGGGCGAGCCTTTGGCGCTGTGTCAAATGACAGTGACTTGCACTCCGTTCTAGCCTACCTCGAGAACAGCACCAGGTTCTTGCCGAAGAAACGCAGGAAGTCCTTGCGTGTGGCAGGCCCGGCCGTAACTTGCAACCATTCGATGAGATCCGCATAAGTTCGAACTGGTCGTTGCTCCAGGTGCCGCTCCGGAAACTCATCAGCAAAGGTGCAACATGGCACCACGGCAAAGGGGCGTCCGAGTTCTTTTGCAAGCTCGATTACCCCTCCAGTAGCTTGATCTGGGTGCAAGCCTACCACGACACGAAAGCTGCACAAGTCTTCCCATTCGGGTGATGCCTCACTGGATTTCTTCATTGAGATCCGTGCCTTTTCGATAGCCGTTTCCACAGGTACCTGACACTGTCTCAAAGGGCAGGCCAGGACGTGGGCTTGACATTCCGAATAGCTTCGCAGCCCAAATTGACTCTTGAGCCATGCACGCTGTTGTCCTGATCGTCTGGGCTCTAGAGTGGCTATAAAAACTGAACATCTTCAAATCTATTGTTGATAAGCTAATGAACCGCTGGCTGCCTCGGACCTAGCAGAAATGCTTTCTGTACTTTGTTCAAACTTGCCAGGAGTCTTGAAACATGCCAGTCGTTCCATGGCGCCGGCCGGTCTGCACCTGGGCAACGTGGATCCAGGACGATGCACGGAATGTTCCTCTTCACGCTGAGTTCAAAAGCCAGCTCTCCACGACCGCCAGCAATGTCTACAACACCCCCGCGGAGAATGTCGTCGCCGAATACTTCACACAGCCATTCAGCAAAAACAGCTGCACGAGCAGCATGGCCTTTCTTTTCTTGTTTCGGATGTGGATCATCCGGCTGCGCGTTAGATGCTGCACGCTGGAGTTGCTCCTGGCGCCAGCGCACCCTGGCAGCTTTCAAGTCATCTCCCTCTGGATGGTAGCAGTTGCACTGGGTCCGTCTGCAGATTCCGTTGCTCATCCAGAACTTGCACAAAGCTCTTCTCCGTGCTGTCGAATCAGGTACCGGAGGAGGCTGCGGTACCCCGCCAATCGTGCAGTCATTGCTTGATTGCGGCATCTTGGTGTTTGCAAGGCCGTGGCCCATCTCGTCAGCTTTGCGAGCATCAGGTGCTGCAAATGTTTCTCCACCACCCACATCTGCCCAGCGACACAGCATGGAATAAGAGAACACGTCTAAAATCCTACCACAGGATCTCCAGGTACCTTTGCATGAAACGGTATCTCCCACAGAAACCTGTTTCCTTACTTCCCGCACCTCTGTTCCATAGACTTCAAACGAGAAAATGGCTTCCCGGCTCTGTGCGCTGGCAGGCAATTGCATAGAGTTCTTGGGTTGCTGCGCTGCCCCGAGCTCGAGGAACAAGAGCTTGTTGCCGCATGACCTCTTGTGAAGAACCTGTCCCTCCAGCAACTCCTGTGGTCCGGACAAGCGCTGTCCAGGGAAATGGCCACCGGCTGAGCATTCCATGGGAGTGTCTGCCATGAGCTCGGTAGCTACACGATTTCCGCGTAGGATATTTCAGGCTTACATCTCGGTGCGATGGCTACGTCGACGAGAAGCATGTCGAACCCGGCACTCGGTTACAAATAGATCGATGCTGCAACGCCTTGGGAACCCTTCACAAAACATGACAGTTTGGCTTGCGTGCACGACCCTCTGAGGCATGCTTTCAGTGGTTTCTGTGCTTGATTCGAGCCTCTCGAGACCTGCCGGATACATGGTTGTCAAGCTCAGATGCATCAAGCTGGATGCAGGTTGAGATAGGGGTCTGTAGAGAAACTCCGTACATGTGTCTAAACGACAAAGCCGCTTCAGGAACACCCGCAACCACACAAAACGTAGACACACGTTTCCATGCATGTATGCCCTCACATGCAAACTATCATGTGTACATACATACATAAATCATGCATGCACATGCATCTAAACCTGAATATGAACATGAATGGCAATACCACGGTATATATGGTCAGGCGTCTGGCGTTCCCAGCCCCCCCCCCCCCAATTGTATGGTCTGGTCGGGGTGGGGGGGGGGGTTCTGGCATGTGCGGAGAGTGGTCTGGCCAGTTGGGTGGTGTCCTGCTGTGGGCGGCCAGGGGTCACAGAGAGGGCCGGGATCTTGCTTACGCAAGCCTATGTATAACGTGGGGCGTGTTCCCGTTTTTATTAACGTTAACCTGTAATACTTTAAACCTTACAGCCGAGCCTAAACCCCGCTTAAATGCAGGCTCTAAGCTTGACGCAGAGCATAAACCGTCACCCTAACCAACCTACACCGCAAACCCTCCCTAAGCTCTTGTCGACTCTAAGCCT